ATGGATTTGTGTCTTCACATGAATATCCACACCACTTCAATCGTTTTCCTTCGGAGTTGTCTCAAGGACGATAGAATCATTAACCGCATTTATCCTGCTCATCAAGATGTCTTGATCACTATTTGAGTGAGCCTGTAAATTTGGGCTACCGATATCCATGCTGAAAATTCCATACTTGTATTAAAAATACAGTGTGGCATAAAGCTGTAATCAAAATAAAATATAAAAATGAAAATAAAATAATGTCAGTTTCTGTTCTAAACTAATATCAAGCTAATCCTTGCATGAATGTGAACGGTATCATTTCAGTCACCTATTTATCTCTCCTCAATTGAACTAATTTGTTCATTTTGACAAGCAATGTATTAACAAATCTTTTCAGAGAGGATATGCCGTAGGTTTCTCATTTGTTTTCTAAATTGAATGCCTTCCTAATGTTAATTTAATATTGATTAGATCTGTGGGACATCGCTCTTTTTTCTGGATAAATTGAAATATTTAACGTGTTATTAAAAAGTTGTATAAAGTGCACTTGATATACACATGAGGAATGTCAGCTCACGCAAATCATCTGAATTAATTCAAAGTATTTGCGTAGCTTACATTGAGTGCAGTGAATGGTTATAGAATAGCAGATATAAGTGAAATTCGGGAAACAGTTCAACCTTGTCGTGATGCCTAATGATATTTTTCCGCCACACTAACTTTAGCCACATTCTCTGATTCCATTGATAGACTATCAGTCCAACAATAATTCAGTAATTGCCTTGAAGATCATTGTGTGATTATCAACTATGTTGTGACATGCATACTGATGATCAGTGGACGAAGAATTGAAGTCTTAAACTATAAATACCTGCAGTTTGAGTGCATTTTAGCCACACCTGTTTGTAGAGATACATACAGTTACACATATGGTTCGAATTTCTACTATTTTTGAAATGTTACATATTCGAATGAAGTTTAAGATGAGACACTGTGTCTTTCTTACTAGGAGTTTGTTTCAATCCACTGCGAAGCTGTAGTATGACTACATTGATTATTCTGGAAATACAGTGTCATCAAAGCATCCAAATTAAGCTAATATATTCGTGAATGTACGTCTTGATTGTTATTATTGTTTCGCTTTGTACGCTTAGGAACGGCGAAACCTGTTTTCTGAATGCGAGTAGTATTTCACTGTACACAAACTGTCCAACGGGGTTCTTCATAGTTGAAAACAAACTACTGAATATTTCACACTCTAACTATGGAAGAGTATGAAGGATATTAGATATGAAATTGCACGATATGGATCTGTATTTGAAGTCCGATCAAATGTTCCACTGAAGGAGTACTATGTTATTTGTCATAAATTATGTGTACTTGCAGTTTTATTTGAATGGTGATATTCGACAATAGCCTAGTAATGTGTTGAATTTATGGTTTCTATTTCAGAGGTTCAGATGAAGGTGAGTAATATTAATGTGTTGATATGCAGAATTCAAAAGACGTTATGCTTTCTGCCTACTACGGAAATTATTGTCGCTTATAACAGTGTTTGTCCACTGAAATCAATGCTGTATCCTTTGTCATGAACAAGCTAAATCTGAACGTAGTCGTTGAATGTAAAGAAGAAAATGAGAAAGAAGTGTGTGATGGAGTTCTCTGTATTGGAAATCTTTACGACACAGTAGAAAATGCAGCTGGAATCGGTAACTTAGGGAATTCTGTATTTAGAGATGACATGAATAATACTAAATGGAACATATATAAATCAGAGTTGAGTTGATGACTGATTGGTATCGCGCGATACGATGTCTCATTTCTGGTAACCTCATAGATCCCCATTCCTATTCAACTTCATCATAGACGCACTAATGGACTTAACCCTAACACACTTCAGCGACTCAGGGATTGACTTGCTACCAAGGAAGAATCTCGTTGAATTAGAATATGCGGACGATATAGTCCTTCAAGACGAGGACTCTGACAAAATGCAGAGTCTACTGAACACCTTGAGCAACAATCTAAGAATGTTTGGCATGCGATTCGCCCCTGCAAAATGTAAGATGATGCTGTAGGATTGGACTTCACCGACCCCTAGATTAGAAATAGGAAGTGAAGTGGTAGAGCACGCTGACCGCTTCAATTACTTGGGAAGTACCATCAGCCCCAACGGGTTGATCTCAGATGAAATTTCAGCACGAATACAGAGGGCTAAGTTCGCATATGCCAGTTTTCGCCGTCTCTGGCGTAGACGCGATATCCGACTATCGACCAAAGGGCGCGTGTATTGCTCAACAGTCCGCTCCGTCCTCCTTTATGGCTGTGAGACCTGGCCATTGAGAGTGGAAGACATGAAAAGATTAGCTGTCTTCGATCATAGGTTTCTGCGTTCTATCTCGCGCGTGAAGTGGTATAATAAGGTGAGCAATATTGAGGTTAGGCGTCGAGTTCTAGGTAAGGCGGGGAAATCAATCGACGAGACTGTGAAATTACTTCGACTGAGATGGTTAGGACATGTGCTACGTATGCTTAGTCATCGCCTTCCTCGACTGACGGTCAATGTTAGCTGATATAGGGCCAGGCTGGAAAAGAGCTAGCGGCGGTCAAACGAAAACATGGCACCAGTCAATGAAATGCACAACAGTTAGTCTAAGCCACGTAGGGAGATGTAGACTTCCTGGTTGGGGTCCTCGGGATGGTAAAAACCAATGGTTGGAAAGAATTGGTGACATGGCTCAAAATCGTTCTCAGTGGCGCAGATGCATCCACTCCTTGTGACTGATGATTTCCAATTAAACTGTTTTGTTCTCCGTTATTACTATTCCTTTGTCTCACACCTCTGTTTACTGTCTGTATTATGCATTTCTTCTTCTTTCTTCTCTTCCTTTGCGTGCTACATAGATTGTGGCGACTTGAACTGCCGCACATATGTGCAAAGTTCTATGTCGAAAACCGACCGACCGACCGACCGAGATCATACTCATTTTATAATGATGGCAGTGTTACGTAACGGGTAATACACTCCATAGATTCGTTTATCCTAATGGAACTCATGTATATTGAATTATTATTTACAGTTTCAATGTAAGTTATTGCCTTTCATTTAAAACACATGAGTTTCACTTGTAATTGGTTAGCATTTAGACTTCACTGTCTTTGAAACCAAGTTTACTGTTTTGCACTCAGAATGAGACCAACATCAGTTTCACTGGTGTACACTTTTGTGTTACATTTCTAAAGATGTGAAAAGAGTACTACTGTCTTTTTCGGTAATGGAGTCACGAATTCTCTAAGAAAAGACCGACTTATTACACATTTGTTTCGGATCATTATGAATGTGACCTTTCATTATATACGTTTGCTGAGATTTATAATATCACGAACCGACTGGCCACTTTTTAAGGTAGAGTTGTTTGCGTTATTCGATTACACCCATTTCCGCCAAACAATAGTTGGTAGATTTCTCTTAAATGAAAGTGACCTATTTCAAACCTTCCAGTTATGATAATCCTGTAGATCTGAGAATTAGTCAACAACATATCTAACTATCTGTTCAGAAGTGAGATGAATTCAGGGAAACCAGAAATTAATCACTAGTGTCAGGCAATTTAGGCCGTAAAATAAAAGTGTATTAAATAAAAACTTGTTAAAAGGTGATAAAAGAGATTGATATTATGACATAAAACTGATGGGACTAGTGTGAAATTCGGTGCATATTTTGTAGGCAGCCTGCTTAAAACTTGGGCTACCAAAAAAGAAACCTGCATAAATATGTTGCATATATAATTAATCCTATTCACTGTGTTCCTGATTGGTGTCCTTATTTCCCAAAATGTACTTACTGATGATCAGTGGACGTAGAATTCAAGTCACAAACTTTAAATTCCTGTAGTCTGAGTACATTTTAACCACACCCGTTTTTAGAGATACATACAGCTACAAATATGGTTCGAATTGCTTCCATTTTTGACATGTTACATATTCCAAAGCCTCAGGATGGTCGGGGGTGGGTGCCTTGCGCTGCGGGTTGGCCACGCCTCCGCAAACCTCGTGAAATGCTCCCATATGACCGGGCATCTTACATAGCCTCTCCTGAGGAAGTCCTACTCACTACTTCACGTGGCGGAGGTGTTTTTCACCAAAGTGAGAAGGCGAAAGCGGATGCCCGGCGCTCTTCACCGGGTTGACTGTCCATTGGATGACAGTCTAGGGGAGATGGCTAAACCCTGATTCCAAACCTCCGGCGAATGCCGTATGAAGCTCACTGGAACTCGCTGGCAGACGTATGGACAAAGGGCTTGTTGGATGTCCTAGATGTCTGGCCCCATTCAAAAAGGCGTATGAACCGAACTCCGGTCACCGGCTGCCAATGGATAGTGGACTCCCTACTCCACTACTACTGCCTTGTAGGTCACACCTGGTTGTGTAAAGGCTAGAGCTGCACTCTCAAACAAAAGGCCGAGCGATTCTGGGGACATCACTCGTACCAAATTCCCATGAAACTTCATGAACTCTCTTCATCAGATCGCCGCGCCTGGGCAACGATGATTCGAGAAGTTCGTGAAGCCGGCTCATCCTCCCGTAGGAGATAGCCGAAGTAAAGAAAGATAAAGAAGAAGACTTACTCCTAAAGGTTTTATAATTGGCATTCAACCTAACGCCATGCATTTCTTGAAGGAGAAAAAAGAAGATATATCTAAAAGGGATTGTTTTCCACTTCAGGTCAGATAGAGCTACACCACACAATCTAATGTCAATTAGTCCTTTATTTGGAGATCCTGGACGAACAGAAGATATCATGCAATAAACTTCGCTGAAAATTCTGTACATTATAGGAACGCTGTTCAGAATGAAGTTATTATTATTGTTATTATTACTTAAGTAATTCCCCATCCATTAGTCTAAGCATGCTGGTTTGGTCATTGAATAACTCAACCGGCTGTAAATGGATTATTCTACTTTGAATGTTAGCTGTATGAATACCCATGTTTGTGCAGTTGAGGTAATTGTTTATGCTTTATAATTATATTTCACCCGCTATTAGATCAAGGGTTGACGGTAAGAATTTTATCCATTTTTTCTAATACAGCCGAACATTTTGGCTAGTGTAAAGTGTTGTTCCAAGCATCCCCATGTTGTATAACTATCCTGAAATCGATAAAGATGAATTCAGCATAAAAAGTCGTGGATTACTTTAAATGTTTCCATTAAGATAATGTCAGAACCGAATTTAACCAAGTAAAAACGTATTTTCGGGGAATTCTCACTAGGGTTTACAATTACAAATCGTTTCAAATGTACATGACTGCCATTTTTATTACCGAAAATAAGTACTTGCCTGCTTAAGTCATGTTCTGGAGTCTTGAATCGTCGCAAACATCCTTCTATGCAAGTAGAAACTACTGATCTCTTCTTTCATTTCTCGAATGCGATCTCGTCTAGCTAAAAATGTTTACGGCTACATTAATTTAGCTATTATTCAAGATATGTGTCTGTATCGTAGCTAATATGTAGAACATTTGTTATTACTGACCAGTGTTATGGATAATATATGAATCCTTTACGAGCTGGATAAAATGTAAGCTCGACAAATTCACCCCTAATGGCTAAAGGTACCTCATAGAGTATTAAAGAGACTGAAAAAAATGAAGCGCACTTTCAGTGCTAAAACTGCTTACTTCTTGTAAGAGCGACGTCTATATAATGAGTGAAAGGAGAAATTAGATTTCATTTTGTAGAAAAATATATTAACATCAATTATATCGACAATATGTATGTGATGATGTTTGTGGATCACATTAAATTTAAACACACAGCCCACAAACACAATTGTGAATTTGAATCACATTCAGTAATACAACATGAAGAATGGTTTTGTCACTTGGACAAAGAACGCCACAAAAATTCAATGTGGGTGGATATATAAGATGACAAGCGCTATTAATAATGCTGCAGCTAAGGTTCAGTACATGATGGCAACGAGTGTTTCGCCTGAAAAGCGAATACCAATAATGATTTTCAATTAAATATAACTCCTAAAGACGATATTAAAGATAGGAGACAGTCTGGTTATTATCGGTGAAAACAGTTGACTTTAATTATACAAAAATAGGTAAAATAAATTTATCACGAGGTTCAGAACACTATACAAGGAAGTAACAAATAAAACCAATAGCATGCATCTAGGCTTAAAGGTTGTTCAGCCGCAACATACCAAATCATCTGCCTAAGTTAATCAGGTCACAGTATGTTTCAGCTTATTTCCAAATTTGAGAGATTCAGGTGTATAAAAAATATGTAGTTCTATTCGTATTGCATGACTTGTGGCACTTTGTAGGAAAATCTAGGCTTAACTTTCGCAATCTTTGTCCATGGTCGACAAAGCGTGTCTAAAATGTCTAAGGAAGTGATTAACTTCTGATTTGACAGGAGTCAGTAACTAGACTAATGTGTGTTTCTCTAGTCCTATCTTTGGTGCAGACTGAATTCTATCAGTCAAGTTTGCAATGTGGTCACCATGCTAGGTGGATTGACATCATGCTGCACTGTGAATTGTTGGTATTAGATTGTTGGAGGCAGTCGGCAGGAAGTCTTGAACCTAAGCTTCGTGCTAGTTGGCACTCATCAGCAAGGCGTATTTACAACCCCGAGGAAACCCATGTGTCTTATGAGATTCAAAACCACCTAACCCTGTTCCAAGGTGTCCAAGGCATCTAACCATCTATTATGAACTGATTTACTTCAAAAAATTGAGCCGACACCCTACAATCCTGCGTTTCAGGACGTTTCCACCAAGTTGTGGGATTGAGCATTGAGTTTTTAATTGACTACAATAGTATAACATCTTTTCACGTCATACAGTAATTGAAAATCAGCTAGCTCGACGACTGTATTGTAGATATTGACTGATGGAACAGCAACATTATACAAGAGATACAGTCTTATTTGGTGAATAATATCGCTGCGACTTAGGTTTGATCAGTCTATATAACGGTACTTCTCATTGTTCATCTGTATTCAATTTATTGTATTGCTCCAGGTGATCTGTGTGGTAAGTTGACTTACTCGAAGCAGAGAGAGTTGAAAAGATTCGCTGTTCGACATAATGAACTATTAAAAAATTCCAGAGTAGAAAACATAAAAAACTGAAAAATGAAATGATACATATCATCCGATATATAAAACAAGAAAGTATTTCCTTAATTTTTATTTAAAATATACTGCCGAAAAACAGTTTGCACCTAAACAACTGTTTAAATGTTTTATATGGAATCACTGAGCTAACTAAGGGTTTTTAAATTTTGATTATCTTTCAGCCGAGGAAAATTTCAAGTGAGCATCAAAATTTCACTATCACTTTCAACTTTGTTGCTTAATAGTAATATTTTATTGATTATTGAAAACTTGAACTGTAATTAGTAGGGCCAAATACAAATGATAGTACAAACACTCGGAAATATTGTTTGCTTCGGTCATCAATCTTTAAATATTCCCATTATTAATATTAAAACAAGGCGTATATAAGCTAACAGTATTGTTTTCAACTAGATCTTCTTCAGGCTTTACTTTAATTTGCATAGCTTCATACATAAAATGTATTAACGGTAATGGTGAAATTTTGGATCAGATTTTACTAATAGTAGTAATAATAGTGTGTTAAAAATTTGAACGTCAGTATTAACGATGATTATATTGATGAAGAGTTGGTTTATAAGGAATTGATTTGTTTTTCGAGTTCGAACAGGGGGAGGATGTCAATTAGAGAACCATTGAAAGCCAGTACGTAGAGTGTTGGGCAAAGAGGGAAAATCAATCGACGAGGCTATAAAGTTACATAGATTGAGATGACTAAGTCACGTGCTGCGCATGCCTAACCATCGTCTCCCCCGACGGGCATTACTAGCTGATATAGGTGCAGGTTGGAAAAGAGTAAGTGGTGGCCAAACAAAAACATGGCCTCATCAATCCATGAAATCCCTGACAGTTAAACTGAGTCAGGTGGGAAGATGCAGACTTCCGGGTTGGGGCCCTCGGGACTCTAAGAATCAATGGCTGGAGACAATAGGTGACATGGCTCAAAATCGTTGTCAATGGTTTACGCAGATGTATTCAGTCTCTGTAATCTTTCATATTCCTTTCTACCATTGCTCATTCTGTTTCACCCTTATACTTGTCAAAACTCTATTGATTCCCTTCACTCATTTTCTTGTCTACGTTTGTGTGCTCTTTGGAACGTGGCAACTCGAACTGCTGCACTTCGGTGCCAAGTTCTATGCTGAACCCAGCCAGCCAGTGCCGGAGCACTGGACACCTGTTTCATCCTAGTTTGGGAATCATCGGCAGTACACATCCACCATAGGGGTTTGGACCCAGGACCTTACGGTTACAAACAAGCTCATATGCCATTCAGCCACTGGGATCCGTTTCATTGACCCATGAATTCTAACTTCTATCAATTCGCGATTTTAGCGTGACCACCATGAGTACTGCCAACGATTTCTAAACTAGGATGAAACAGTTGTCTGGTTCTGCGCGGTTTTCAATGGTTTTCTAGCTGAAATCAAACCGTGGTTGAGCTCACTTATAATGATGACGAAAAAAATGACAGCGAGGTTTATTCAGTGGCAATAAGAATAACAAAGGTAGTAATATGTGTTCTTGTGGACAATTCAATATATAGATTAGGTTAGATCTTAAAAGTTACATAATACTTAAGGGGAAGCGGACAGATAATCAGAGTTTAAATAAATATCATAACAGTGGGAAGGAAGTGCGAAATGAGAAAAGGTATAAGGGTTTTAATTAGAATTTACCAAGGAGAGACAAAGGTAGAACAAACTTCTTTTATATGCAAAGACTAGGATTGTTCCCTTGAATCCCCGTAGGGCAAACAACTAGACAGCTCAACAAATGTATAACCGAACATCTTCCTTCATGGTTCAGAAAAGCTTAAATAAAATCTATAAGTTCTATTCTGTCTCATTTGATTAATAACACATAGTTGAAGCTATATATTTATTTATTAAATTGTCTACATGTACACATATTACTACCTTCGTTATTCTTATCGCCACGTGCATAAGCCTTATAAACATTGTATTTTGTTATCACTAAAGTCATCGTTATAACTGACGTTCAAAACACCCAACACACTATTATTATTACTATTATTATTTGATCTTTTTTATGAGTTGATCACGGATTAATATCAGTTAGAGAACCAGTGAAAACCAGGGAATGTTGGACAGCCAGCTGTTTCGTTCTTGTTCGGGAATCATCATCAGTAAGCACCCACTGGGGTTCAGACCCAGGACCTTCCGGTTACAAGGCAAGCTCGTAGACCATTCAGCCACTGGGACCCGATCCAGTGGCCAGCCGTGATTTAGCGCGACCCCAAACAATGTCGTTGGGTCCCAATGGTTAAGTGATATACGAGCTCGCTTTGTAACCGGAAAGTCCTGGGTTCGAATCCCTATGGGTGCTTACTGCAGATGATTCCAAAACTAGGACATCAGAAACAGCTGTCCAGTACTCCTTGGTTTTCACTCGTTCTCTAACTGATATCAATCCGTGATCAACTAGTAGAAACAAGACTAATCTTTACAAACCAACTATAGAAAATACTATTTGATCCATAATCTCACTTTCGTTGGTTAACCTTGTTGTATTTAAGTTGGAGAAAAGCTTATATTTTTTGTGCAGCCATCAAAATCACAAGTGGTGATTAACACCAAGTTAAGCAGGCGTTTGCGTAAATGGCAAGAATACACAAATAATTCACTAGTAGCTATATATTTGCATTTAACCCTCACCTATTTTCTGATTTATTTCTATTTGAAGCCCAGAATTTTTCGAATTATTGTAAGTCCTGCACGTATTTCTGAACCGATAGACATTTGAGAGTGTTCAATATTCTCTCAGCTTTAGTATTTGTTCAGGAATGTTTCGTTAACAGAACTGTTGACATCATTGTGGGTAATCTCTGCACAGAATAAAAAAATATAATTATTCTTATCCTGAGATAAAAATCTCTCCTATTATTTATTTCACGTTCATATAAATGTACTAATTAGAGGGAGATGAATTTCACAATTAGCGTCATACATATCTATGCTTGTGACTGATTATCCTTATATAAGCAGTAACTGAATTTTTTTCCCGCCAAGTATTTATCTTGCCACTGACTCAATGTACAACAATTTATTCACCCTTGAAATTCAGCGACAGTTATCTTCGAGTACTGTAAGTTCAAATTCATTTAAAAACTATCTTTCATAGAACTATAAGAAGGCTTAGTTTATCTAAAACACGTTTTGGATATTTTGATCACACATGTACTTGACATACATATTTACTTGAAAAGCCAATAGAGCATTTTCATCAACATAGGTCAAGTTGTTTACATGTCCTGATCACAGATACTAAGTATGGAAAATGATCGGGGTGAAAGTATTATGAACTAAGATGAACCTCAGTTACAAAATTTGACTTCTAGGGCAAGTTCAGAGTAATGCAAATTAGGTTTTGAGTACATGAAACAGACTTAAGCTTTTTTACGGCTAAGGCTTCAAGAAATTTATGTGACCAATACCTATTTTATATCTAGGTTTAAATGCATTATTGATATCAATTTTGAGATCCATCTCTAAGATGAGCTTTGGGATAGATAATTCTGGACATCCATTTGTGGGACTAACTGTATTAGGTGCTTTCATTTGTCCCTGCAGACACTTTGGAATCCGTTGTGTATCAATAAGCTGCAGACATCGATGAGTCCTCCGTATGTACGTGTGACGACACACACACACACACGAATAAGTTGGTAGAAAAATTGGGATGTGACACTGACGTTCACATGATAACACAAATCTCGTTTTATTTATGATAATGAGTTTAGTTGCATACCAGGTTCTTTAAAGTGCCTCTCTAGGTCTCTAATCAGACTTAGGGCACTACGCTTGAGCTGTAAGGATACATAAACTTATCTGTATATATTTAAGAGATCATTTCGATTGGGGTAATGGATCCTTTGGTTTGTGGCTTCTATAGAGTTGAATGAATTTCAGGCGATAGTCATAATCTAATAATATATCAGTGAGGTTTTTTATTTCCTCTTCAGTGCTATCTTTTGTGCATGTCTGCTGAATGTCTCTAAAAATAATATTCCTACCTCTTATCTGTGGTAATGACCTGTAAACATTTTGACCTCGACTGATGAAATTCCGACGGTTTAAGCTCAGTTGAATATCTATAAAATATACTTGCGTAATCAGAATATCCGAAATGTTTTACGCCAAATGGAACTTGCCGTTTCCTGTTGCGAATCACAGCCTGTACAATTACAACGAATGTAGTAATTAACCTTAATGTATGTGCCAAATACATATATATAAATGAATATATATATATATATATTGTTAGTGACAGAAGGCATGTTTCTTCTGGTCTCCAAATTTCATAAATAAGTCATGGACAGTCAAAGTATATCCTAATCTTTATGAGGTATAAAACATTTGAAACATAGCTTCACAAAGATTGTTGCATTAACTGCAGAATAACGACTCTATCAAATATCTAATCTATGCTGGATACATGTATTTCAAAGGAGAATAATGTCATATTAGATTCTTTGCCTTACACGGATAAAACAGCTTTCAGCAAAGCCAGTTACTTACTTTAGAAAAAACATCCTAATTTTATCGACCTCGATCATTAAATGATCAGAAATAGTCTGGGTTAGTTTTTACTTATGTAACGGTTAGCACGCAACCCATGTGGTGTATGAAAACAGCTCATTCGTTTGAACAAAATTACCTTCCACTGAAAAGTGAAGCCAAAACGGGGAGGAGATATTGATAAATTACCAATTTTGTTTGATTTCCGCCTATATTACTACAACAAACATTATAACATTTCCATTTTCAACTTTCTTGTCAACACCAGGTTGAAATTCTTAAAAAAATTGTTAGTTTATATTTACAATTTTGATTTGTTTCATGTTTTGAGTTTTTGTTGATAATTTTATTCACCTTGTGGAAACATTTGATGAGATTCACATGAATTGATTAATTCCCTGTTTCACAAATGCTCACATCAACAGAGATAGAAGTTAATTCTTTTCAAAACACCGTGAAAAATATTCGGGAGCAATAAGCATATTTGGGAATTTGATTTGAACGCAACTGTGAGATGGTGAGACAAATGAAAGAGTGTTCTCACTTGTCAGTATTGTCCATAGAACATAGTATATTCACCATAACGCCCAGTCTTTGAGATGTGCACAGTATCACTTTCTTTGGTGTCTGAAATAGCCAACTTAAGATGCGTTATGAGTTACCAGTGAATCAGTAGGTTATCATTCCCCTAAATTATGCCAATCTAATAAATTTCAGTTCAGTGATATCATACGCTTGTAATGTTTCAGAAATGAGGAAGGCACTTCACAGTATTCGTTGATTGACAAGCGTCATATGTTACTTCACACTTACAGATTTGTATTTAGTAAACTTCAGTGGTTAATTAATGTATCATGCTTCCTGAAAATATTTTTATGTAGGATTGAAGGGTACGTGTATGTTTTTAATCGATTCTGTCTATTTTCTCAGTCTTTAATAGAATAAGATTACCTGGCTGGTCAGAATGTTTAACTCTCCAGTTCTCTTCAAAAATGATTAACTATAAACTTGTGAGAGACGTCATATTCCACATCGATTTGTTTGACAGTAAAACAAATGGTTTTTCACTGAACAAGACTCTAAGTCAGATTTATGCTTCTGAACAGAAAGTCCGAGAAAGATTTTTGAAGAGTTTATGAACAAAGGTTAGTTGAATTAACAATACATCTGAAGTTTTGAAAAATCAAAACTGTCTACAATTGGGATCAAACATGTATAGCTGTCAGTTTAAGCTCATTCCAGTTATTTGATTATTATTATTGTTTCCTTTAATTCCTAGAGGAACATAGGGATTCAGCCGTGCGTCTCCATTGCGTTCGGTTCTCTGCTAGAGTCTTCAACTGGCTCCAAGTCTGTCCACACGTTTTCATCTCCTCTTCACATGACCTCCTCCTCCATGGCACCCTTGCACTGACGACCAACTCGCCGCTTCCCTTTCGGGTTCCACTCGAGCAATGGCTTGTCTAGTGATGTCACTTGGTGGTTTCCTCAGAGTATGGCCAATCTATCTCCATTTCCTTCGGCATATTTGTTTCACAATCGGTTCCTGGTTGTTTCTCTCCCAGAGATCCCTGTTGCTAATCTTTTCTGACCATCTGATCTTGAGTATTGAGCGAAGACAACTGTTAATGAAGGTTTGTAGTTTGTTTGAGATGCTCTTTATGACGCGCAGTGCAAGTCTCTGATCCGTATAGTAGCACTGATTTACTTCACATTGGAGTTGAAAATCCGGATCTTATTTTTGATGCTAAGTGCTGTTGACCTCCGCAAAAGCTTGTCTTGCTTTCCCGATTCTTGCTTTGATATCCTCGTCAGTTCCGCCTGTAGTTGAGACAATGCTTCGCAGGTAGGTAAAAGAGGTTGTTTCTTTCAGGTTCCTCCCATTTATGCTGATTGTTGTCTGTTGCTGTTGTTCTTGTCCAGGAATCTTCATTACCTCTGTTACTTCTCTGTTATTTGATCAAATTGTTACAATTTCGAGAAAAGATTTAGAATACAAATTTGGAATTACGCTTTTATTTGTTGAGTACACTTGAAGCAAGTTACATATACATTAATGCTGATTGCATATAACTTTAGTGATGTATACTTTACGAATGTTTTGATATTTCCTTTCCACTAGATCCGCCAAAACTGATATGTAAGTCACATAATCAATACAAACACAGTATATTTTGATTATATCCAATGGACATTAAGAAATTTTAGAGTGATAAATATGATAGCTAAAAGTGTTGGTAATAGTAAATAATGCTACGATGGTGTCCATTCTTCCACCTGTCGGCCAACCTAACTGAATGTCTAAGTTTCTGTAGCAAATGCGTTGATTTCCCGGAGCTGAGTGATTAGCTCCAAACCCGACCTTCCCTCTTTTTCTGGGTGTACGACAAGCCAGTAAAATAGGTGACAAGGGCAGAAATCCTGAATGCCATAAAGCTACTGAAACCCCGCTTGGAAGACATCAGAAGCAGACAGAATACCTCCTGAAGCTTTGAAAATAGATCCTCAAAGGTGAGCAGATATTCTGATCCTACAGTTGCAGAAAGTTTACAAGGAATGAAAGGTATCTACAAATCGAGAAAAAGGGTACCTTGTCAAGAATACCAAAGAGGGACAACTTTGATATTTGAAAGATTTGGCAGTCGACTTTAAGAAAAATATCAAGTCACGTCATCTTGGAAAGACAAAAGCATGCTCTAGATGCAAACCACCACCGGAACAAGCTAGATTCTGATAATGTAAATTATGTGCGAATAAAATCGCAACTCTAAGCTTCACCATCAAAGACAGCATAGAATAGCAGTCAGACAACAACTACCACTTCATTGACTTTGTAAAAGCCTTCGGCATCGTTGACTGCAAGGTAAATTGGAAACTGTTTCAATAATGTGGAGTGCACTGAACCTCTATCAAACTCACCCAGCAGCTATATGATAATGCCAGATGTCAAGTAATCCCCAACAGAGAGCTCAACCAAGGCTGTATTGCGAAGACGGGAGTAAGACAAGGCTGTTTGTAATCATTGATGTTAATCCTCATTATATTGCTGTTGTAGCCCTATGTTCCAAACAGTACTGAAGGCGAAAATAATAATAAAATGATCGTTTAGAATTTAGTCTTCTATCTTGCATGCACCTTTATTACACTGAATTCTCTTCTATTCTAGCCAAAAGTCAATGAAGATACTGTAAGCATAATTCAAATCTTTTTTAAAGTGGGATTTTTATTTAACTAAATATGTTTAACGCTGGTAATCAAAATAAATATAAGTTTGGAAACAGAAATTCTGAGCTATAAGAATTTAAACAGCTCAAGAGTAACATCACAGAATGTAGTACTGGATTACTCAGGTTCAAATCTCAGAAATGAGACGTGTTGGAGATACACCTTGTTGATGAGTGTCAGCAAGTATGAAACCTGGGTCCACGCCTTACTCCTTAGTGTCTTCAACCATCTGACAGGAAGAAGATGCTAACTTTTCACCAGTAAATGGGCAATGCCGAATCCGTTCTGATTTCATTATTCAAAGCACAAACACACCACATCAGTTTTACTAACGTTTTATAGATGAAAGTACTCCAACATTACCTGTTTATCGATATTGTGGATTCTAAAAGATAGTTAATGTATGGGTATACTGATACCGAAATGCAACAGACAAGTCGACTGAATGCCAAATACTATTGTTCTCCACAAAAAACAACTTTTGCTTTACTTAGGAACAAAAATATGAGAAGACAGAGATGATGTTGGTCAAAGTAGGTGTTCTTTTCTTCTCATAATCCAAGCACATAAACTTATTATGGAAAAGCATGGCATTTGGTATTTCATATTGATGCGTGTAGATAATTATGAACACCTGATAGGTTGGGAAAATGTAGACATTTAAAGCAGTGGAAACACTGAAAATGCCAGCAAATTTCTAGAAGCCGGGCACTTAGACGAATCAGCGATTAGCAGACAGATTATTACAGATCAAATCTACAAACAATTAAAGAACCAAAAACGTGAGAAAAAGATTTAAACGACCAAAAAAATACAAATTATCAACTAGTCACAACTGAAGTTGGTCAGGAGATACACTTATATCATTCCGAGTGAATTCATGTAAATTCAACTCACATTAAATCTCGCACTGAAGGTGCTCCCTACTAGAACAAAACCTTTGCGGTTAAATCACCCTGTTCAGAACACACAGATTCGTCTACATCAGAAACGAATGACTTGATATATTGATACCAGTTTTAACTATCTGCTGTCATATATGCACATGCATTCAAGTGAATCGGTCAGAAATAAGTGACAAAATATTCTTTATTGTAGCTCTCATTTACTCATAGAAAGACAGTGGAGTCCCTAAATTATTCACTGTATTCTTCTGATCGTTGATATCAGATGGCAAATTTTGTGCAGATTTAATTTTAAGTTAAGGAATAGCCTAAATTTAAGTATCCTCACTCATTTGCGGACATACCCATTCAAATACGCATAAAATGCTTGGGAACAAACAAAATATATGTCCTATGTTTGGTTGGTTGAAGGATTTCATCACGAGCTGACATCATTCAGAGAAACTGGAAAGCTGTTTCGTCCTAGTTTGGAAGTCTTTAGCATTACGCACCCACTAGCACAGTTTGAATCCATGACTTTCTGGTTACAAAGCCAGAGAGCTCGTAGACCATTACACCACTGGGATCCGACGCGATGGCCAATGAATTTCAACTTCTGCCAATTCATGACATAGCGTGACCACTACACATTGCCCTCTTCGATGAGTTACCGCCTCATCTTCAGCTTGATGTACTCTACTGGTCACGGTTTCCTACTAGAACCCCGGGTTAACTGCCTGAATAGGGGTAGTCACTAGTGAGCATCAGATTAATTTATTTTCAAGTATTGGTTTTATAGGAATTTTGTTTGATTGGTTGGAGGATTTACCTTATTAGTCTAATGTCTACTATTTCTACTCTATATTGCTAGTTGCAACTGTTCTTTTCTAGGTGGAAGTATTTAAATTACTGTACCAACTATGTTTCCTATTAACTACGTTTTCACAGTGGAAAATGTTGGTAGCATTAAATTGAATATACAGATACATTTTGTGCAAGTATTCAATAATATCTTATATGTTTCATATTTACTCACAGGACTATGCAAAGAAAGTGCTTGTAAGTTTCCGTTAATCTGATACTTAACTGGCGTTGAACATTTTGGCTTTAGTCGTCATGAAACGGTCAAAGAAGAATAATCACTCACCACTTTTCTGTTCATTAATAAAATTCATATTGAGCAATGTTGATCATATTTTCCGCTGGATCATAGGAGCATGTAGCGATAAATCCAATTGACAGAATCTTTCAGGTATTGATTTCTGTTATATTGAAATAATGGCGACAGAAAGTAACACAGGTACACATAAAATGAGTGTTGGTTGAGAAAGCTGTGTGTGCTGTGAATGTATGGTGTGAAAGATTGTTAACTTTGACTGGCCACATCGTGGAAGTTGGAGTACCTGAAGCAGAAGGGACATTAGTGTTGCAAGATCTTAGAGCCCAGGGGAAAACAGTTTGAGGCCGGTCAAACAAGGTTTATTTGAAGTAGTTTATAAAGTTACGTCCATAATAATACCTTACTGCGGGAAGGTAAGTAAGAGTGTATAATTCTGAGGGACGATCTTTTCAAACCGCCGTCTTCAGAGTGGAGTGGCACCGTAGTTGTTATGTAAGTCATCCGACAAGAACACCTTATAACTAATACATCCCTATTCCCCAGATGTACCACTTCTCCCACACGAATTTCACTATGACGGAAACTGCTTTTAGTCTGATGACAATCGAAACGACATTAATGGTGGGGAAGAAGCTACATCCAGGATAACCCGCTGGGTCACTTTAACACAAAACCTTGAACACCCCATCAAATGAGGAGCTATGGGCAAAGTTCCTTGAATAAATATCTTCTATGGGTTATAACAACAGTTTAGAGCGCCGTTAAGGTCCTTCTTCATGTCTTACTAAGTGTTAATATTATGTTTCACGAAAATTCATTTTTTAGGCAATCTATGGCTCATTATCTGTAAGTGAAATGTTGTGATAATCAATGTTAACAGTAAAAGATGTTATATTTGTTCAGCAATCGTGAGGTCATTGTTAAATGAGGATATTTGGAAATATGTCAACGTGTTTTAGGGAATTAATGATTATGAATTGAAAAACAAAATTCTGTGCATAAAATTCAGCTGATAAACAGTGGATGTGTTGTTATAAACACAAATTCGCGTCAAACTGGCGTTTACATTAGAAAACGATCGGAATTAAACGTTTTTTCTTTTGTCCATATTTGCATTTTAACTGACATATCCTTTAATATTACATTTTAGCGGTTACGGAGATGACATAAGCAGGTGAGTAAATTACTCCGAAATCTACGTATTTTTTCTTCCAGCTTTTGATTGGACAATAACTTGTGTCCTGTGTCTAATCCTTTTGTTTACTGCAGACCGGATTCCATCGGTGAAGTTTGCAATGTGACCACCATGCCACTAGCTGGCTCGCCATCACCGTACACTTATGGCTGTTATCATAAGATGCTTGGAGGCAATCAGCAGGAAGCTTTGCCCAACCTAGGACTAGTGCTTTTCGGCACATTGCAAAGTTCACCGATAGAATTCAATCTGCACTAAACAAAATGACTAAATACATGAAACTAATTAGTGGCCAACCAAACATTTCTAATACAGTCCTACAGGAGCTCAATGACATGACCAAATAGCTCAGTGGTAACGTGTCTGACCGCAGCAACGGGTGACACGTGTTCGATTCTCAGAAGTGACATGAGTTCCTTTAAGATTGTAGGTTTGCCTTGCTGACTGTTGAGTGCTAACAAGCACGAAACCTAGGTCAGGCAAGGCTTCCTGCCTATTGCCTCAAACAATCTAATAATATCTTCTAGCAGTGGAAAAGATTTTTTTTCAATTTGAAAATATCGCAAAATATGAATCATTATTGCCTAAATTCTCTGAATTATTTCAATGTTTGACGCTAACTTTAAAAATACATTTCTCTGAAATCCTTAGGGCCAGCTACCTGGACGTTGCGTGAGTGAATATAATTCTTATGCCAAATAAATATTGATTTTATATATATGTTTTTCTTCTATTACGTATAGATTACTTTCTGTTGGCTAAAACTTGCAAAATATACTCGGTGCTACAGCTTCACTTCACTCAGAATTAAAAAAATTTATGTAAATTAAGTTAGTAGTGTAAACAGTTCCATTTTCCTTGGAATTAATTCGGCTCTCTGAGCTGAGTTGAACTGAGTATACTACTAATGACTTCAGCTCCAGCCGAGCAAAACGGATGTCACGTGTTTAGATGAGGCTCTATTCGTAGATATCAACTGTACCAACTACTCATCTCAATCAGTCAGTAGTATATAGATTCGCACAATAATTTATGTGAACTAACAGATGATATCTACTTGTGCTTTTAAGGTAGACAGTGAATCCAAACGATAACATCTTGAGAGTATTTCACTATTCTGATTGAAGATCTTTTTTCATTTCAAGACAATAAACAAATCAAGAATTCACTTGCTAGACATCAAACAGTTTTCTGAAAATAACGCGATATCAATTTAAAAAAAGCGCTTTCTTTCCTCATGCTATTTGGTGAATGCCGATACCAAATAGTATCATGTTAGTCCTCAGATGTTTTTGATGCATCTGTAATAGGCACCGCCACGTTGACAAGTGGCAAACACTTAGAATCAATAAAACAACAGCAAAAAAACAAATTCAACTTAATCCATTTTCTTTCTTTCTTTCTTCAAATTTTATTTATTAATAGAAAGAGCTCTTTAGACAGAATGTAAGTTTTCTATCTGATTTTGCTGTCATCAGTTGCGTAAATCAGTGAAAATTTGTTTGATTAATGCAAGGTTTGAGAATTTTCATCAGATACGATTTGAAGTGCCAAGTAAACACTTAGTTAATTGTTCCCATGTCAGATATTCTTCAGGAGTTTTGTTGACAAAACGTGCAATTCAAGATATATATATTGCTGCACTAATTGTAATTCCTTTCGAAATTGAGTTGATGATGCAGTCGAAACAGTCTGTGATGGTGGATGTAAAATGTTTGTCGATCAGAGTAGCTTAAACTGAAACAGTCAACTGTATATACACAAAGGGTATGATAATGAGCTCTACCTATTCTCATGAAAATGTATCTATTCCTGTTATTTTAACTTTTAGACAAAATCACATGAACCATGGGTCAGTGCTAATCATCTTTTAATATCTTACAACTGCACTAAAGTATTGCCTAGTTAGTATTTGTTCATTGGTAATATGAACTTATTTATGGAAAAGTAAATGATCTGCAAATTAGTAGTGTTCTCTGAGCTGGTTGGTTGAGCTGCGGAGCTTTCTTCGTCCTTCTCGACAACATCTTCAGCGCGATTTCTAGGATAAAGTGAACTGATTTAAATTTTCTCCATGAGTGATAGAATTGTGTCTCCTGGTAACCATCGTTTTTTAATTGACTGGGATCTTAAACTTTCTCGTCACATGAATTATTATTTATTAGTTGGTATATTTGGTCTATATATTAATGTGTTTGTTAATCGCATATTCAAATAAGAACAAATTAGTTCAGCGAAGAGTCTCTTTTCGGCGAATTCATTCACTTAGCTGTACAGTCGCAAATATATATACAATTATTTTGTGTGTGTGTGTACATTAGGTTTGTCAAAATCAAAATCAAAATAACAGTTAGTGTGGGTTGTTGGTTATATCATCAAAATAATAAAGAAATTAAAATGTGTGATTAATAATCAAAGTTGTAACTAAGTGGGGTGAAGATTGGCAAGATGTGGGTAGGGTTACGTAATATAGACATGTTTAGAAAGATCAGATGCTAGTGAAGGAGTTTGGAGACAATTATGAAAATAAACTAGATAATAGGTGAAAAGACTGAATGGGTTAGTTAGTAAAAATTATTATACGAAGATTGCGAAAAATTTGATAACAAAATGTTGATGACAGATAAACTTGAAATTAAACCCACGGTGGTAGGAGGGGGTGGAGAAGTTTCTTCTGTGTGCATAAATCAGGCTTTTCTATACAAATCGCTAAGGCTTCGGCAATACAAAGTATACGGAAGCTTGTCGATTTTGGAAGGCTTTTTTTGACTTGATAGATGACTTTGAACGACTTCTCCTTTCAAATCGAATGACCAGTGTTGAGTATATGCTCAATAATGGCGCTCCTTATTGCTCCGTTGTTACCTTTCCGTAGCCAGGCGGGATAGTGTTCTTGAACTCTTTTCGATAAAACACGCTTCGAACGACCTATATTCGTTTGGGTACCAGGCTTTTAGGAATTCCCTGGCATTTCTTGGTGTTTCTTCTGTCTAAAATTTCGAAATCGTTCTAATCATGTTAAGATAATACATATGTAAAGATAGTTACCAGGAGACGCATTTGTATCACTCCTGGAAAATTTAAATCAGTTCACTTTATGCTAAAAATCGCGCTGAAGATATTGTCTAGAAGGACAACGAAAGCTCCGCAACTCAACCAACCAGCTCAGAGAAGACCACTAATTGCAAATCATCCATCTGATCTGCAAATCTTCTCTATTATTTCAACATGAAATGGTCATTTAGGTAGTAAAAGGAAGCGATTGAGTTTGTCATAACTGACGTATGTAGAAAGGCGTATAATTTCTAGTGCCTTCCAGTAGTACAATCTGATACCTTTGCTGGTCAGAGGGAAACACAAATACACTTTTAAAGTGTAGGAACTAGGTAACTGTCTTCTTTCTGTCAAATGAGGAATATATAACCGATGGTGCCAAGCATCACATTTATACATTTGTTCTAATTAATATGTCTGTCTGTAATGGACAGTCCATATCCAAATTTCACAACTGGTATCTTGCTTTCATGCTCCCCCTATGGGTATCTATTTTCATAGCTGAAAGATGATATTCGTTCAACTAATGTAGATATCTGCCAATAAATGCAATAATTGCTCTCTCCATTATCTGAAAATCAGTCACTCGTAAGGACCGAAAACTCAGGTTGAAACAGATCCATTATGGCTGATACCATCATAATTAGTGAATTCATGTCTCATTTTGCACCCGACTTTTTGATGATTGGTAGAAAGCTGATTCAACTAATGAAGATATTTACCAATACATACAAGTGGTATTCACTTGAAACATTATCAGTAAATGTTACTGTATAACACTGTGTGACTTTATTTAAGTAAATTTTATCTAGAATGGAATTATACTCTACCAGGGTGCCCAAATTTCTATCTTTATATCAGTATTCATTTTCCACTATCTGAATAACCATTTGGGAAGTACTGAGATACAAGCTTTACGACCAAAACTGACTTATTGTGGTTTGAGCACAGGAAAAAGATCTTTGCGTCCCACCGCATAGTTGACAAAATAACCTTGAGATATACGCAGTCACAAAGTACTCAAAAGACTGCGGAATGAGATTTTTTCATTGAGTTGTAGCTCTATTAAATAACAACAGCATCAACACCTCAAAGTCACCTCAATGATGCCGCAAGGTAGCTCTGCAATAGAGTTAAAGTACAAAACGAATACTTTGAATTGAGCAGAATATTGACAAAATGGTTGGATCAAAAGCACTGTCCCCTAGAATCACGCACCAATGCTGTCTACAAACAATCAAAGATCAGAAATTGCCTTGCTTCACTCAAACAAAGTAATTTTCATTATTGTTTATTTTGATTCCACACAATACTTTTGGTACAAGTATGGAATTTTCAGCATGTGATATCGGTGGCAAAATTTTGCAGGTGTGCATCGGCCGGGGATCGAACCGCCGACCATGTGCATGGTCACGAAAGTCCTAATCGCCGTGCCACCGACTCACCTTGTAAGATACATGATTTATATATAAATTCACCGATATGCTACCACAAAAGAAAGTTGGTTAGATGGCATTTCTTCCCAAGTGAATCATTTTGTTCTGTATCTTGGCGACAGCTAGTTAACGACAATAGGACAATAAAAACTTGCACAGATGATTTATAATGAAAAATGATGAATGTAATACACTAGATACCGTTCCAAAATAGAATACAGTTAGAAATATGTCTTGATATATCATTGAAAACTCAGTCATGTTGTACAAATTAGTCGTTTTCAACAATTAGTAAATCCACTGACTTCACTAATATGATTTTCATATTTGCTAACTCCTTCAAAAAGCAGGCGAAATTACACTCAGTAAGTTTGGATAAATAAAGCTCTGAACTTTGCTTCGTATGTTGAATACCATGTCTTTCTCCTGACTTTATACAAGAATTGAGTTAGCGGTTAAATCTTCCAACATCTAACGGAACTAGTCATATAGACAAAATCCTCACGAATGGTGTGAAAAGTCTGCGGAATAAAGATTCCTCATCATAGCCTCACTTTTGGCAATTGAAATTCATTTGCAGATTCTGAAAGAAGTGACAAATATTGATATTTACCTGAACATTTAGATACACTGAACTCATGGTTGAGTCTGTATTTGTATGGCGATTGTTTTCCTAAAATAATGGAAATATAAGAAAATTAGAAGGTTAGAGCAGAAGTATAGTTTAGGGAATCTATATATTCATTTATATAACAAACACCATCTGACAAAGGGAAGTAAATACTGAAAATGTACATACTAGTTTCAAAAATGTCTAATTAGATTTCTTCCTCCTTCAGTTTAGAATTTCCATACATAACCGTTAGATTAATGTATAAGTACTAATCGTAAAACTAAATACACACGTATGCATGGCGTACGATGATAGTAAGGCTGTGGGTTTTTCCAGATTCAACAGCTTTTAACATGCAGAGTTAAGGATAACTAGAGGTTTTCAAACACTAATTATTTCACTGATATAACTCAAGATCAAAAATAGATTGTTACTGATAAGACTAATGCAGTGGTTGAACTTCTCTTACCATCTCTGTTCGTCAGTATGAACAATCAAAATTTGTTTTTAAGTCCATTCTGATTTCTCTGCGAGTTATTTGGAGCAAAATGTTCAACCTCTGTCAACAAGTAGGCTCTTGGTATTGACGCTCCGGCTTACAAAAGCAAGTCAGTAACTCATGCCAATTGCACAAGAGATGACTTTCTTGTCCCAAATGGTTCAGCGGATAATTCCTTGGTGTTTAAAACAACTTGTACTTTGACTGCGTCACGGTGTGGATACGATCGCTCACTGGAGAATGTAGATACGTCCAGTTGATGAGTGTTGAATAGGCTGAAACGCACGTCCTGGATTGCACTACTGGGCACCATCCAGCAGATTACTTCCTGAACAAATCATGCTCACCAACTTTAATTGACACATTAACTAATCCACTTTTATTGTTTTTTTTAAAAATATTTTCCCTTCAAGGGATGCTAAATATCTGTAAGTAACAGAAAATGCTTTTCTTGAATAATTTTCGACACTAATTAAAGCAAGTTTGTCTGATACATGAGCAATAAATTCTGTTACGTATTTTTATCAGTTATTTATTCAGTTAAAAAATGAAGGGGACTATAAATATCAAGGTTACAGATTTTGAGCATCTTCCAGGGTAGTTCAAGGGTCCAGTAGCATTCTAAATTCATTGAAAACAATCTCAGAGTGTTTAGGAAGTCGAAAAAGATTTTTCTAAATATTTGGCAGTCTGAGCTACAGGTTAATCTAGTGTTACAGTCTAATTCAAAAAACCAATTGATTCTTTAGAAAAAGCTTTAATTAATAAAAAAGAAATATTTTTACTGAAATGATACAAAGCAACTCTGTTTATAGGGTGAAATGTTCAGGATGTGAAGCTTGTTTTATATGAAAGGCAGTAAGCAGATGAAGGTTTGAGTGAATGAACATGCACAGTATAGGGAATGGCCACCTAGAAATGAAGTGGAATTAGGGTCTAAAAAAAAATCAGTAAATGTTTAGCAGAAAAGAACATAAGACCGATTCTGACAATGTCAACAAATATTATGAAACATTTTTTATCCACATGA